CAAAGATTAATCTGGGCGTGAGTATAAATAATTATTAATCAATAAGTAATAATAATAATTATTATTATTATTTTAGGTACAAAATATTATTTCTAGATGTACTTTTTCCATTAAATATTAAGAAAATAATTTTTGTCGATGCTGACCAGGTATACATTGTAGTTATAAAATTATTATTAATTATAATTACTTCTTAACAGTTACTTATATTTATTCATGGTTATTAATAGGTGGTTCGTACTGATATGAAGGAATTGTTGGAGGAGCCATTGGATGGAGCACCTTATGGATACACTCCTTTCTGTGATAGTCGTACTGATATGGATGGATTCAGGTAATTAATGATATGTAGCAGAGGAGGTAGGACACGGTTGACCTTTGAGCAATAATTGCAAAGTTCAATTGCATTCCATTGGTATCACGTGATAAAAAATGGCAGCTTTCTGATGATTGTATCACAAAACTAGCTACTACTACAGAAACTAGAGAGATCTATCACGACCCTTGACGGTTGTTAAAATCTTCATTGTATGGAGAATATTTCTTCTTTGATTATAGACATGAATATAAGAAGGAGAAAGAGACAGTGCATCTTAACTTTGATTCTCTTTTTTACTTCATCAGATAAATCAATCTTCGCTAGTTTAAGATGTTAAAAGTTACTGCAACTATCATAGTTTCTAGTGAATTAATGAAAGTCCCATTGACTCTATCTTGATGCTCTAAATTATTGTTAGAAGGGTACTGGTGGAAGAATTTGGCCATTTTGCATCACGTGATACCAATGGAATGCAATTGAACTTTGCAATTATTAATCAAAGGTCAACCGTGTCCTACCTCCTCTGGATCCAAATACCATTTTAGCAAATAGACGCCCGGGCTTTTATTTAAGGAAATAAGGTACTTTACAATTAAGGGTGTAGATAGTGGGGACTAATCCCCTACTTTATGAAGGAGATAGTTTTTTGTTTTATTAGTGGTAGAGATGAATGGGATGCTAAGGAAATGGATGTACAAGAAAGTTAGTATTATCAGTGCATATCATTATTTTTATTGTTCTTTATTTTCAAAGGTGAAGTTATTGAAGATTATGAAAAGGATGAAGAGGTACATGCTAATACTTTATTATGCTTGCTGATACATTTGTGATTTGATTTTGTTGCCATAAGCATACAAATCAATCAAATATAGTATAATAGTAATATGTAATAGCATGTTTAGTTTCATAAAACAGGCTTCATTACATTTCCTGATACATATAATTAGTTTGGATAAATTTGTCCAAAATTGGGCCAAACTCCCTGTATACTGTAACATGGTTTTAGGCCAAATTTTGCCAAAAATTAAAAGGTGAGAGTTCTTCATTTCTATAATTATTTCTAATACATATTTATGTCCTCTTGTTATGTAGAGGATTCCAATTAAATATAGCTTTTTTACAAATTTTTGAAATTTGTGCCAAAGACATAGTTTTTTATAAAATGCTCATATATCATTTTTCATTTGCTGTTACTTTGTGGGAGATGATCATGCGACACAAACCAACTCTTGATCTCAATCAGGAGGAACAGTTTCATCCTTATAACGTCTTCCGTACAATAGGAAAAGGTACTTAAGAATAACCTCTAGTGTACAATATGTACTCACTCATTTTCTCCCTTTATGTCTCTGATCCTCCATCTCTCTCTTTCCTACTATTAAGAGCAAGGATGCCCACTATCATAGGTATACCAAAGTTTCTATGGGAGCTAGTGACAAAGTAAGAGTTTAATAGTACATGTACATGTACACGTGTATGTTGATACATGATGTGTTCATTAGGTGCTGGGCACAACAACCTGTTGATAGACTCTCCTTTGATGAGATAGTTAGGAAACTAAAAGGAGTACCTTACAAATTTAAAATGAACCACTATTAACTCGTTAGTTTATGTACTTTTTTCTTTATTAACACATTTACCCACTCATGATACAACTAAATGTATATGTATATTTTATGATTCAAGTCATTCATTCCTTCATATTAGGTCGAAGGAGTAAAACTGAAGTGGAGAAGCCACCATCATCATCAGACATACATCAGATCAGAAGACCAGACTCTCATCCTCCTAATCAGATGGTTGTTGCCTTTGATCCTGACAGGTATACACTATGATATTTTGTACTTCTTTATATACTTCATTGTAATATGTATGTACGTACATTGTACTTATTAATGTGTACGTACATGTACATATGTATAGTTTTACCTATATTTCTTTTTTGTTAAGTTTATTTCATTGTTTTTTTTAGTTTTGAAGTTGTTGATAATTTTGAAAGTACTTCTGACGATACGTTAGTATCTATTGAGCCAAAACAAGCCGATCCTTCATCTCAGTATTAATTGATGGACTTGATCCTGATCGACAAGTAATAACTTCATTTAATGATTTTTCCATTTTATTTTATGTACATATTCTCTCTCATTTCTTCCTTTCTTATTATACATTGTACATGTATAGCCATACATTCCAATAGAAGGGAATCAAGAATCATATGAAGTATACATGCAATATAAATCAGTAAGCAATCTCTATATTAAGTGCTATCTCATTTATTGCTATTATCATTTGTAGTATGTAGAACAAAGGTTTAAGATACTATATGAGATGGGACAGTTAGATCAAAAGAGGTAATTGTATTGAATATTGTAATATCAATGTCTGCTTTATTATAATGTCAGTATTAAACAAATTTCAGTGGTGTTATATTGCTAGTAGAATGTACGCACACTTGTACATGTGAAGTTTTAGCTATGTAATTTTCTATTGCATAAATGGCAGCTTTATAGACCAACCCAAATTGGCATCACATGATGCTCTATGGACTGATGCAATGTTTAGAGTTGTGCGTATTGTAAAATCTAGCTTAAGCCTAGCTTTGACATACAACAGCTAAATGAATAAAACATTTCAGGGACTGGTATTACATTTCATTTCATTATCATTGAATAGGATTGAATTAGAGAGTGAGCTTCATGGTGAAGAATTAAAAAGCACAAAATCAACAACATTTTTTCACCACTATAGTTCAATACTACAAGAAAACGTAAGTTATTACAAACTAGAGCATAGTTTATCTTCTGTGTTATTCTGTTTAGCGTGAACTAGAGGAGGAGCTTAAGAAGCTTAGATCATTATGATAGTAACTGGTTCTTAATTATTTGCATGTAATATTTTGTCCTTTCAATTTTTAACATTATTTGACTTCAAACGTGCCATCTAAGATTCTTTCTGTGGGATGGGCTATTGTAAGGCATAGACTAGAGCTAGTGTTGTCCATTATTATTTCATTTGAGGATAATAATAGATAATTGCAATTACTAGTACTATTTAATTTGGAGTTTGATTAATCATTACAGATTAGTCTTTAATGGCCTAACCAGACCTGGTGGCTAGCTTTAGAAATCAATTTTTGGAATGTTGTACATTTAGTTACATCTACTCATGCAGATAAATAGTATTGTAGTATTTATTATTATTGGTAGCCATACAAATTGTATTGGAACTGTCTACATATCTATAGTATGACTAAAAATTTAGCAGAGCGGCTAGCTAGAGCTGCATGTTGTAAATCATAGTATACTTTAGAGAACTGACGAGAGAATTTTTATAGCAGGTAAATCATTTCTTTCTACTACATCACTACATGTCTATTATTATCATAGTCTTTCTTCATAGGTGTGGCTTATTTCATGATAGTATAAAATTTCACAAATTCGAAATTTTATCCACCATTCGCTATGGCTGGATCAGTTACATTATTTTCTGCTGTATTGCTTCTTTTCTTGCTTGCATTCAGTCCAGTTGTGGAATGCAGGTCAGTTATTATAATTATATAAAGCTATACATTTAGAGACTTTCTCATGTACATAGGAACTGCACATATCTCCGCAGTAGAGTTTCTACTTACATGTCTTATCAGCAAGCGTATTATACATCTCAGGGTGTTAGGTACACTTCATGTGGTTTGTTTGGATGGAAAAGATGTACCAGATATTATACACAGTAAATTTAATAACAACTTGTACATTAATGTCCATTCTTGTTAGTTACACCTACTACACACAGTCCTATGTGTCATATAGAACAGTATATTATTATACCAGTGATTGCTGCAGTGGATATGCATTAGTCAGTGGACAATGCATACGTAAGATACTTAGTATAAAATAATGTAATTGTACTGTTTGTGCATGTTTCTTCTTTATTGCAAGAAACAGTGTATTCTTAGTATAAAATTAATAACACTTCATTTTGTAGCTCAATGTTCTCAGGGTTGCTTTTATGGGAATTGTATCAGCCCTGATGTGTGTAGCTGTGATGCTGGTTGGACTGGATATTCATGTCAAACAGGTAATAATCATATTATGTACATATACACCGGCCATTTAGCACAATGCATTTTTAATAGCATGCATCATCTGTTATATTGTATGTTCATCACGTACTATTAGTTTAGCTTTGCAAATGTTTCAATTCTTATTCAGATATTAATGAGTGTACTAACGGCAATGTTACAATTGGTATTCCACTAATAAATGGCAGTGGAAGTGAATTAGACTTAATTGTACCAACTGATGACTGGTGTGAGCAGTTATGTATTAACAGACCAGGAACTTACTTGTGTGGCTGTCATGATGGATATTTGATAGATACAGACAATCAAACATGTACAGGTACATTTAATATACACATTGAATGTATATTATTACTCAATAATATGTACTAGGCAACTAATTCATGCATAGTCTTTCTCTGGTTATTCCTCTTTTAAGCAATATATGTGTATTATGCATTTACTATAATTAGTAACACAATTAACAGATATTAATGAGTGCCTTAATGATAATGGTGGCTGCAGTCATACTTGTACCAACACTCTGGGATCATATAACTGCTCCTGCTATGATGGATATCTATTATTAGAGGATCACTCCACCTGCATAGGTAATATATAATAAAACAACAATAACTGTCATTTTTTATTGTTTACTTAAGATCATTGTGAATGTTGTACTGGTGATGATGATTGCCAGCACACATGTCATAATACAATTGGAAGCTATTATTGTACATGCTTGTCAGGATATAGAGTTTCTGCAACTAATTCAAGTGCATGCGAAGGTACATCAGTAGTACAATACTTTGTATCTAATTTCATTATTTCATCATAGATATTGATGAATGCATGGAAAGTAGTTCAAATTGTAGTCAGATATGTATAAATGAGCCAGGGAGCTACAACTGTTCATGTTTAAATGGATACATTCTACTTTATGATGATTATACATGTGAAGGTCAGTTCACTTACATTACATATCTAAATTAATAGTTCATCATTAGATATTGATGAATGTGAGGATGACAATGGAGGATGTGAAGTGTACTGTACCAATACTAATGGTTCATATTACTGTGGCTGTGATAAAGGTTACTATGTTAGCTATAACTACTCATGTAAAGGTAATGATACATGGTTTTTGATAATAAATTTGACTCGGCAGTCGGCATCAACTTGGTTCAAATAATCTTACTCAAATTTAATCATATTCTGCACCAAATGAGTGTTTTTTGCTCCAATATTGTAAAAATAGCAGAATTAGCATTATTTTTTGTGAATGTTTTGAGCAAATATGCCCAACTGATATTATAATTGTGGGCCACAGCAAACTGTATTGGGCCAATTGAGCTCATGGTAATAATGTATATATACTTGCATCCTATTTCAAGCTAGCCAGAAGCATGCCACTGTAATGGTTATGCTTTTTTAAAAGTAAGACTGAAATTATAATCTGAAGTAAACTTCTCCAAAAACACTGAAAAGTTAATATTACAATCATTATTAAAATAAATTATTCTTCATTTTATTTATTAATTTTTGTTTTATCTTGAGATATTGATGAATGCACTTATTAATTGTTGTTTGTCTCTTAAGATATTGATGAATGCACTGATGGAATTTCTGGATGTTCTCAGTTATGTATCAACACCAATGCTAGTTATACATGTACCTGTGATAAAGGTTATCAACTCACTAATGATAATCACACTTGTACTGATATCAATGAGTGTACTATTACCGATAATGGAGGATGTGAACAACTATGTATTAATACTGAAGGAAGTTTTACTTGTTCTTGTACATCAGGATACCAACTATTATCAGATAAATTTTGTACTGGTGAGATTATCTGGTAATAGTATTGTATTATAGTATATTTAAACAGATTTAAATGAATGTACTATGTATAATGGTGGATGTGAACAAAATTGTCATAACAATGCTGGAAGTTACAAATGTTCCTGTAACATTGGCTTTAATTTAAATACTGATAATCATAATTGTACAGGTAAAAATAAGTTGTTTTAATTTTTTATTAATTGAATCAATTCAATTAGATATTAATGAATGTAGCACTAATAATGGAGGATGTGAACAGAGCTGTCATAATACCATTGGTAGCTATTATTGTTCATGTAACAATAATTATACCCTCAATACTGATCATCATCATTGTGATGGTAAAATTGAATAGTAATAATATTCATCTAATAGTAAAATCTTACAGATGTTGATGAGTGTTCTCTTGGTATCAGTGGATGTCATCAAAACTGTGTCAATACCAATGGATCATACATGTGCTACTGTACTTCTGGATTTCATTTAATGAGTGATCAGAAAGCTTGTTCTGGTAAAGCTTGTTCTTATTCTATTAATTCAGTTTTATTCTTTTTAGATACTAATGAGTGTTTGTTAAGCAATGGAGGATGCAGTCAGGTATGTGTTAATACAATAGGAAGCTATAACTGCTCCTGTAATGCTGGATATCAATCTATTGGACAAGACTGCAATGGTATAATAATTGCACTTTTGACATTAATAATCATACTTTGTGCTGTTATCTTTTGTT